CTTGACCACCATAGAGACTGTATATTAGAGCCGACCAGACTTGAAAGAAAGACCTCTGGAAGATGCTGATTCTTGGTTTACTGATGGTAGTAGCTTCATGAAAAATGGTAAATGAAAGGCAGGATATGCCATTACCACCACTTCACAGGGAAAAAAAAAAAAATAAAAAAAAATCTAAACCTTCACCTGGTAACACCTCTGCCCAGAAGTCAAAAATAATAGCATTAATAAGAGCCCTGGAACTGGCTAAAGATAAAAGGATAAATATTAGGACTGATTCTAAATATGCATTTGGTGTGGTCCATGTCCATGGTGCTATCTGGAAAGAATGTGGACCTTTGAACACACAAGGGAAACAGGTTAACCATGCTACAGATATTCTACAATTACTGGAAGCTGTTCAGCTACCTGAAGAAGTAGCTGTTATGTACTGTAAAGGGCATCAACAAGGTGGCTCTGATCAAGAAATTGGAAATAATTTGGCCAATTTTGAAGCCAAACGAGCAGCTGAACAATTTCAAATCATGTCCTTAATCCCTGACGGCAAACTACCAATTGAAAAATCTAAACCTAGATATTCAAAAGAGGATAGAAAATTGATTGAGGATCTAAAGGGACAGGAAAATAGAGGGTTGGGCTCAAATACCTGGTGGGCGAATTGTAATCCCCTATAACCAGCTCTGGATGTTAGCTCAGGAAGAACATAATAAAACTCATTGGGGTAGCAATTCTTTATATAAATATTTAGACAAACAAATTGTAGGAAGGAATCTATACACCACGGTTCAATTAGTGACAAAACAATGTCAGCTATGTCTTAAGAATAATCCTAAAACTGAAAACAGAAATCAAATTGGGACAATTGGGAGAGGAAGTTATCCAGGACAACAGTGGCAAATAGACTTTTCTGAGTTACCAAGAAAAGGGGGCTATCGATATTTGTTGGTGTTAACGGATACTTTTTCAGGCTGGCCAGAAGCATTCCCTTACAGAATAAATAATGCAAAACAAGTGATTAAAATATTATTTAACAAGATAATAAGATCATTTTGGGGTACCAGAGGCAATTTCTTCTGACCGAGACTCGCACTTTAGTGCAAAATTGTTACAAGAAATTAGGAAAAAATTAGAAACTGATTGGCAACTGCATGTTCCATATAGGCCTTAGGCCAGTGGGCAAGTAGAAAAGATGAACCATCTGATTAAACAACAAATTAGTAAAATATGTCAGGAAACAAATTTATATTGGTACCAGGCATTACCACTGGCTTTATTAAGAATTCGAACTAGACCCCAGTCAAAAGAAGAGGTTAGCCCATTTGAGATTTTGTATGGAAGACCGTATCAGTCCCAGTTTAAAGGAGAAAGTCTTCAGGAAGTGGGAGAAGGCTATCTCCAACAGTTTCTGATCAATCTGGGAAAACAATTGGAGGAGATAATAGGGAAAAGAGCAAGAGGTTTGGATTATCCAATTCACCCTTTCAGATCTGGAGACTGGGTTTATGTTAAGAATTTTTCAGGAGATCCTCTACAGGAGAAGTGGAGCGGACTGTACCAGATATTATTGATCACCTTTACAGCAGTGAAGATAAAGGAACAACCTGCTTGGGCACATTATTCAAGAATAAAGAAAGCACCAGAGACAGAGAAGACAGGGTGGATTGAACCTTCAGTACCCTTGCGTATGAAATTGTGTCGATCATAATTTAGACTCATATGATAACTGGCGCACAAGCTTGGGACCAGAATTTATACCTGAAATTAGTGCAGAATGTTACTAATATTTTCATCATAATGACTGTTGGGTGTGTGCACAGTTGCCTAAATCAGGAGAAAGCCTGGATCTCCCATTAATTGGAGTTCCAATTCCTAACACTGTCTCATGGACAAATTTGTGGGTGAACACTAGCGATCTGTATTCAAAGGAAAGGTTAACATTTGAAATAGTTAATCCTAACCCAGGTAATAAATACTACACCTGTGCACAAAGGGGTATTACATCAGAAACCAGAGTAGGAGATCAGGCTTGTTTAAATGCCACAGATGTAGGTCACCATTCAAATTACAATCATACAATTAACAATTAACATAGATGGTATCGTAGTTCAGTGATGGCCCGTTCCTAAAGGGAAAGCATGGTATTGGTTATGTGGAAAAATGCTTGTAAGATTCTACCCCCAACTGGAAGGGGGCATGCACCTTAGGTGCTGTAATACCCAATTTTACTATTATCAACAGGTACCCTTCCAGGACCTGGATTAGAAGTTTTGCTGAACGAATTAATTGAGGGTTTAACCCTGTTATTCAACAGCACAACTCATGTCACAGTTTTGTAAAAGGGCTAATTCCATCTTTGGCAGTAAGTGAATTAGAGAAGGCAATTGTAAATATCTCAGCAACCATAGAGGAAATGGAAAGTAAAAACATCGATATAATCCAGGCAGAACAAGAGATAACTAGCCTATCTAAGGTGATATTACAAAACTGAATGGCTCTAGACATGTTACTGGCATCACAAAGAGGGGTTTCTTCCATAATCAATGAAAGCTGTAGTTCCTATACAGACTAAAGTGGTGGAATTGAAACAGATCTGGAGGAAATTTGGAAACAAACTAAGATATTTCGTGAAATGGCCATGGATGGCACCTCCTGGGGCTTTGAAGAAACATGGAAAAAGTTAACTTCATGGTTACCCAATCTCTCCTGGTTGAGGCAACTGGTTGCAGGAATATTGGTGTTAATTATTTTAATATTGATTACTTGTGGTATGATACAATGTTCCCTCTGGTGTTGTAAACGGTCTATGATAAATTACGAAGAATGGAAACGGAATGAAACTAAGCACCAGGTAGAAACGGATATTATTTCAAAAAGACTTTTGGTGGTAATGGTAATATATAAAATGTTGCAAAAGAATTTGCAAAAGGACAGAAAAAGGGGGGAATTTGAGACAAAGGGGCACAAAATCACAAAATGGGATATAGAAACTTTTATAAGAAGTTTTAAGTAATGTTAAGTTTGATGGCTTTGTAACAGCAGCAATGGAAAATTACTGAGGAGCAAGATACACAGAGAGAAAACCATAGTACAGCTGGAGAACATAGTGAGAATCCTCACAGCATAAATCACTGTAGTTGGCATAGCTGTAAGAGGAACAGCCTAGAAGAACAGGACACAGGGATAAGGGCTATCTGGGAACTGCAGGTGTCCAGGATGGGCTAACAGATAAGTAGGAGGCTGGGAGGATTATTATGTCTCTGGTGCTAACGAACCAATTAAACTGGTATGAGCATCTACTGCGCGTGCTTCAAAGGCTGCCAGAAGTGATGAAGATCGTTGGAAGAAGTAAACGACCCTCAGAGACCACCACCACAATTCTGTACGCATGCGGGGAACTCTCTGGAAAATGATGTAATCCATATGTAGCCTCATGAATATGTATGTATGCCCAGGGGCTATAAAAGGACAGCTTGTGGGGCAATTAGAGAGACACACGTTAGGAGGATTTATCCCCCGTGTCTCCCGGCGCCGCAATAAAGAATACCTGCTTGTCAGCTTGAAAACTTTGTTGGCAAGTTTGTTCCTGGAGTTTTCTCCGAATCAATATATACTGGCATTGATACGCAGATTGTCTCCACAACTCATTAAAGTTGTAAAGTAGCTATGTTTTATTCAGCTGAGGCGCATGGGGGATAGTTCCTCCAAAGGCATGCGTACCCCAGCGTCATTTTCCCTCTACATTTATTCTCTAAAGTGTTAAATATGCAATAGGTTACACAACACGCCTATACACATTCATATCCTTTCCCTGCTTCATATTATAATGAGCTAAAGCTTCCTTCATGCCTGTGCAATGCCTCCTGGTGGTCATGGGCAGGGGTCTCGAGATGACGTAAACGAGTCGTCTTCACTCTTGAACTTTTCAGCTCTGTCTTGCATACATGCTCACTAGTCCCCTGGCTTCGGCTCAAACCTCAGTTCCAGTCTCAACTGGGTCTTAACCAGATGTATGGTGTTGCAAGTGGAAACTTTGACCACCAGTTCCCCTTATCTGATGTTTTTTTCCTTTCTTACACAAGTTTACATTAAACACAAGCTGCACTTTTAGACAAATACTTATTGTTAACTAAAGAGATTAAAGATAATCAGAAGAATAACATAGGTTTAACATTCGGTTATTAATTCAGGCCGCTTATCAGTATGATGTGCTGTGGTATGGAATACCCCTTTGGCTACTGAAAAGTCCTTGATCTGGGTAAGCATTACTTAGCAACAACTAAACCATCAGTGTTTTATAAACACTATTCTCAGACTGAAGCCGAAACACAGCACTGCAACAGCCACTAGGAAGGAGAACATCTGAACCCATGACATAGTATTTCTGTTCTTAAGTTATAACTTTGGTTAATAAAAAACAACTACTGAGCAGGGCTGTTTGTATTAACTCTATAGGTTTTCAGGGAAGATCTTTTTTTGTCTGTTTATGGCATTTGTTTTTCATCAGGTCCTTTAAGCTCTCCTATAATAGACAATTCTTTAATGAAAGGATTTTATTTCTGAATTAGAAAAAATGCATGCATTTAAAAATATTTGAAAGAATCTCCTAAATTTTTAAACTTGATCAAATAAGTATTTTTTCCAGTTTCTTACTAATTGAGACTTTTTTTTTCTTTTTTTTTCTCTTTACAGTTGGCAAACCTAAAACACAAATGATCAGTGCTTTTTGGGATGCAATAAGAAGCAACAACTTTACTATGCTGTTCAGGATAATGTGTGTGGGAACAGCATCTTCATGAGGAGAGGAGATGTGGTAGCACAGAGGCAGTAACTAAAGACATCGATGTTATCAGCACTGTTCCCAGGCTGAAAGTCAAATACACAGCGCTGCAGCAGCTACTAAGAAGGAGAAAAAATGACTGCTACTGCTGAACCCAGGACAGTATCCACCCCTTATTCCATGCCATTTACATCATGCTCAGATGCCACATTTTCAGTATACCATCACTCTTATCTCAGTGCATGGACCAATACCTACAAAGCTGCTGAGTCCATTCGGTCCATGATATCGGGCTCCGTCTCTTGTAACAGTCTTTCAAAGCAGGAGAGGCTGTGTGCAGTGTTCACACTCATGAATAACCTGGGCAATAGTGTCCATTGCTAAGTCCACCCCTCAATCATGAGTCCATCTGTATGTTGTATCTCTGCCCTGGTGGCCTAAAGTGTCATGGGCCCGCCAGGCTCAAAATAATTCACCCTCCCCTTCAGCAGTTTCTGCAACTTGTCGTTGGGGACTCCATATAGCTGCTTTCCACCTCTGATGCTTCCAGAGCACTGGAGGGGCCCAGTGGACTAGATACTTGCCCATACTGTCTCACACACCCTGCCACTCATGACTGTCCAGCCTTGGGGAAAACCTCTTGGTCCTCCTATATCCTCATCTAATCCTAGGCAAGACCCAAACCCAACTCTGCTTAACTTTTGAGATCAGACAAAATGGTAATGGGTAAAACACTTTCTGTATGTGTACCAACATGTTGATCCTCGTCACAATCAACAGGCAGGTCCCAAGGGTACCCAAAGGCCATTCAAAACCTTCAGAACTCTCAAATGATGCTGCTGTACTTGTCACTGGGGCTGGTGTAGCTGCTGTACTTGCCGACACTCTCACCACAAGCTTCCCTTTTTCTGAGTCCAGATCTTCCCCCTCTGCCTTGCTGGGAAATGCTGCGTGGTCTCCTGCATCCTCCACTTGTCCCGGGAGCCTGAGGCTGGATCCAGCTGAGGCTTCCAAAGGTGGTATCTTGTTCTCGACATATTCCTTGGGCTTGGGCTCGCTGGGCTCGGTAGACAGCTTCCGGGGGATGCTCTTGGCCATTGCGGAGCTGGGCTCAGCTGCGGAGCCTGGTTCCTCCGCTGCCTCCTCCCGCTGCTCGGCAGCCGCCTCCTTCCCATCCTCGACTGCCCTGACCTCCTCCACCCCCTCCCGGCCTCCTGGTCTCCGGGGCCACTCTTCTGGGCCTGTTCAGACACCGATGGCTCCTGCGGCCACCCCCTTCGGCTCCCCACAGCCTCACGAAGATGGAGGAGAGGATGAGGGTCAGGACAGTGAAGCGCAGCGGGATGGCCAGGTACAAGTCCACGGCCACGTCCATCCTGTCCTGCTGCCAGAGCCCGCCTGTATTACAAGTCATTACCATAAAGTACAGTGAAACAAGAACCTTAGCCCAAGCCCCCATCTGATAAACACTATCACAGCAAATACCGGATGTAAGTAAGGTACAACATACTGAAACTGTGAGATCAAGAACAACAACTTTGTGAGCCAATAAATCAGCATTGTGACGAGGGACAAATCAAAACAAAGAATGCATATCACAAATATGATTAGACACACTCTGGTCAGATCTGTCGTTATCTCAACCCTTCGAGCCCCATGTTGGCCTCCAGAAAGAACTGTCGTGGTTTAAGCTCAGTCGTAAAATCAGCCGCACAGTCCTCGCTCACTCCCCCCCCCGTTTGCTCCCCCTGCTCCCGGAGGGATGGGGAAGAGAATCGAAAGAATATAACTCCCACGGGTTGAGAAAAGGACAGTCCAGTAACTAAGGTATAACACAAAACCACTGCTGATACCACCAATAATAATAATGATAAGGGAAATAACAAGGGAAGAGAATACAACTGCTCACCACCTGCTGACCGATAACCAGCCCAACCCAAGCAGCAATCTAGCCCTTCCGGGTAACTGCCCCCAGTTTATATACTGGGCATGATGTGCTGTGGGATGGAATACCCCATTGGCTAGTTTGGGTCAGGTGTCCTGTCTCTGCTTCCTCCCAGCTTCCTCTCCTCCCTGGCAGAGCATGAGACTCAGAAAGTCCTTGGTCAGTCAAAACATCTGTGCAGTAACTAAAATCATCAGTGTTATCAGTGTTGTTCCCAGGCTGAAAGTCAAAAACACAGCACTGCACCAGCTACTAAGAAGGAGAAAAAAATGACTGCTACTGCTGAACCCAGGACAAGAGGTCAAAGGTTCATGAAGGAAGCATGAAAGTTTAAGTGTACATGTCTGTACCCTGCCTTATTGTGTAACTGCTTGGTAAAACATACTTTTTCCCCTTACTTTATTCATGAGGGTGTGTTGAGTTTTCAGGTGAAGAAGAAAAATTGGAGTTAGATCCTTAAGTAACTTTCAGATGCCATCTTCTAAGTGGGAACAGTGCATTCTTGCATGGTGATGAGGCCCCAAGGACAGTTGTGGAGGCCAGGTCTAATTAAATGTTTTCATGGGGTAATGTCCATCTGGGCTGTAAAGGAGGTTGACCAAATTAGCCCCTAAGAAGCTGGTAGTTGGAACTGGGAGGCTTTTGGCCAAAGGATCTCTCTATATACTGTGTCTTACACTCAGTGGGTAGTGAATAGTAGCAAGTGCTTGTGGAGACAGTGTGCTGTGCTAGATGTGCTTTTCTTAAATCTTCTTTAGTAGTGCTTATATTTTCATACTTGTGCTTAAAAATTGAAAGGAGATATAGGGATTGAATTGGGAATTTCTGAAGTTCCATGTGATTAACATGTATGGTCCGTTAGATCGTTTCTGTTCTGCCATATGAGCAAGTTACTTTCTTCAAATAGCTTTTTACTTTTCTGGTAACTGTCAAACCAGAGGTTATAATGTGTGTGCTAATTTGTTGTCATTTGTGACAACCCTCGCCATAAATATTTATGTGTTCCAAGAAGTCTCTAATTAGTTAATGTGCTTCTGTAGCAGACTCCTCTTCCAATGCTACTGAATCATATGAATATTTAATCACCTACTGAGCACTTGAGAAGCCCAAGGTCTTCAGAGTTGTTTTCTCTGTATCTAAAAGGATGCTTCTGTGTTTTTTTCTGAAGCTTAAGTTGCACTTATCTCCTTTGTGCATTTAGGGAGGGAACCTGTTACAGCGTATGACTTGCATGTGCATATAAAACCAGATGTAATTAACAATCTTATTTATAACCAAAGAATGGTTTCTCTCCTCATAAAAGCATGGTGATTTTGCCAACAGGCTAAACATTGTGTTCATTTTCAATTACATGGCATTCTTTTTCATGGCCATTTATTTGGAGTGGAAGAGGTGATGACAGGGAAGATACACATTGCTGAGATGAACTCTGTGCCAAAGTATTAAGGAAGTTTAATGGGAGTACGTGTTTGAATCTTTTAGACTCTGTTAAAACCCTTTCCTTTATCTTTTAAGAAGATGTCAGTTTCAAAAGAGTCGTTTCTCTGAAGGGCTGTCATCCTTGACCTGTTGTTAGTCATCCCTCTACTGAGATGATGCAGGCAACCAAGCTCTTCTGCCCGTGTGGTACAAAATGGGTATGACCATAGCTGGCTTACTACAAGCCTTTAGGGCTTGGTGCTGATGCAGCCTGACAGGGGTTTGTGCCTCTTCCAGCATCTTGGTGGTTGAGTCATTGAGGAGCACCAGCTTGTGTCACTCGGCATGTTTCACAGGTGACCTTTTGAGTACAACTCTAACAGAGGTTTGAGTTTGCTGTGTGCAGAGTGGTTTTGCTGTGGTGATGAAGTTGGACAGCATCAGCAGTGATGACGTGCTGGCTGTGCTGATGACCAAGATGGTAGATTTTTACTGTAGTGCTTTGGTTCTGGGAAACCCATCATTGTAATATCTGAACACTGCATATCCTTCCATGTAAATATGATGGAGAACACTGTGGCAATGTGTCTATAGACTACAGCTTCAGGAACTGTATGGAGTGTTCATATCCTTGACTTTGCTATAGTTCTTCAATTAGGACTTTTTCCTTGCTCTGTCAGCCTAAACCTGTGATCTTGTGCCTTTACTCTATTTGCAAATGCACAATTTGGGAAACAGGTTTATTTGACCTTTTTTCATGTCTTCAAGACCAGGCTGGATGTACTTCTGGGCAACCTGACCTAGTTCAAGATGTCCCTGCTCATTGCAGGGGTTTGGACTAGATGACCTTTGAAGGCCCCTTCCAACCCAGTCTGTGATTCTATAAGAAATATCTGGATAAAGACTATTGACAAGGGCATGTAGTGACAGGACAAGGGGGATAGCTTTAAATTGACATAGGGGAGATATAGATTAGACATTAGGAATAAATTCTTTACTATGAGAGTGGTGAGACACTGGCACAGGTTGCCCAAGAGAAGCTGTGTCTGCCTCATCCCTGGCAGTGTTCAAGGCCAGGTTGGATGGGACTTGGAGCAACCTGGTCTAGTGCAAGGTGTCCCTGCCCATAGCAGGGGGTTGGAACTAGATGAGCTTTAAGGTCCTCCGTGGAGCACTGGTTATTCTCATGAGGGCCTGCACAACCCAGGATTAGAGCCAAGTGAGACAGCCTTGAACTCTCTCTGACTCAGCTGAGCCGAGGAGGCCTGGAGTCGAAGAAATGCAAGCAGAACGTTGAAACAGGAGCTTGCTCGCCACAAGAAATGCACCACTTATCACAAGGCATGCACCCTGCTGTTGCAGAGATATGCGTGTAAAACTTAGCTTAGCCAATAGCAATGCATAGGCAGGGGCGTGGACAGGTTTATGTAGCCAATGAAAGATGTACAGTTGTCACGTAAACTATCACCCATGGTATAAATTAGGTGAGCCTGTGCAATAAACTGAACAAGAAGTGTAACTCATATTGGGATTGTCGTCTTGATTCGGGTCGCTCCTCCGACATTTGGCACCCGAACAGGGACGCGAGGTTGGACTCGGACTTCTCCAAACTGTGTCCGGCCGTTGCAGCAAAGGCACAGACGGGGAAAGCGGAGGAGCCAGCAGTGCAGGAAGCGTCTACTAGCAAAAGCGGTGAAGCTCGGTGTCCTGGGTTTAGCAGTAGCAGTCATTTTTTTTTTCTTGGTAGCTGGTGCAGTGCTGTGTTTTGACTTTCGGCCTGGGAACAAAGCTGATAAAAGTGATGTTTTGGTTTGGCCAAGGACTTTGTGAGCCTCATGCTCTGCCAGGGAGGAGGGAAGCTGGGAGGAAGCAGAGGCAGGACACCTGACCCAAACTGAACAAAGAGGTATTCCATACCACAGCACATCATGCCCAGGAGGGAACTGGGAGTGACCCGGAAGGGGGCTAGGGTGGACTGCAGGGTTGGAGGAGGTATCGGTCGGTGCTTGATCAGGCTGGGGGGGTGAGTTATCGGTCGCCTGGTGATGGGGTGTTGTATTCTCTTCCCTTGTTATTTCCTTTATCATTACTATTATTGGTGGTAGCAGCAGTGATTTGTGTTATACCTTAGTTACTAAACTGTTCTTATCTCAACCCGTGGGAGTTGCATTCTTTTTGATTCTCCTCCCCGTCCCTCCAGGAGTAGGGGGAGGGCAAGAAAGGGGGGGGGGAGTGGGTAACAAGCTGTCTAGGTGGGGTTAAACCAGGACACTCAGCTACTGGCAAAAGCGGCGCAGCTCGGCTACTGGCAAAAGCAATGAAGCTCGGCTAGGAGTGACAGCTGATGTGGCCTACACACCCACACCTGCACGGGTAAGACCGCACTCTAAAATCCACCACAGATCAAGAGGCGGCACTCACACTTTTAGAACAATTACTTGCTAAGCAGCGAGAGGCTAGTGTGAGCACGAAGAAGCTCAGAGAGCTATGTCGGTGGGGGAAGGAGAAAGGACATCTTAAGGACCCACAGCTAATGTTCAGCATTGCTGAATGGAGGGAAACTGGGGACTCTTTGTGGGATCTCACCCTGATCAGGTGAACAGCCGGGGAGGAGAAGGGGCACTTGCTATCCGAAGAGGAAGAGGCAGTGATGGATCTCCTCCAACATATTCTCTCTAAGAGAGGACTGCAACATGATACTGCTGCCTTACAGAGGCTGTTAAAGTGGGCCCGTGATCGTGGCTTTATCCCCACAGCGCAAGCTACCTTTGAGGTTTCTGAATGGGAACATATAGGACTGGCGTTGTGGGATGAGATTAGTAAAGGGACAAAGGAAGCCCTGAAGTATTCTACGTTATGGAGATGGATAACTGAGACTTTAAAGGAAATTAAATTTGAATGGGCAAAAGTGGAATCTGTTTTCCTGGCCGCTGCTCCTTCGCAAAGAGGTAGAAAAGAGTGCTACGTCTATGGTATTTGCCCCCCCCCCACCCCACCCCGTTGTGCCTGGCACGGCATCGCAGAAGCCTCCTCGGCATAAGGGGGAAGATAAAGTGAAACGGCACTCGCCCGAAAGTACAGGCAGAGAGTGCAAACGCGGTCACCTTCGACCTAGAGGAAGAAGACCCCGAATTGGAATTGGAACCAGACCCAGAGACTCCAGCAGAACCGGACTTGTACCCTCCCCTT